TCGCCTGCTTCCCTGCTCGCCCGAGCCCGAACGTGACAGAATGACTGATCTCCCCGAAAGCACGAAGCAGCAGTCCGAGCACCACCGGCTCGGACTGCTGCAAGACTTCGTGTACTGGCAATCCCAGCCCGAGGTCCAGGAGGACCCGGTAGCCCTGGAGCTGGCTAGCCAGGGCCGGGACCTGCTCCAGAAGGAGCGCCCGTCGGGGCAGGACTACCCGCTTACCAAAGCCCGGAAATGCCTCCGTCGGCTACAGCGCCGGCTCACCGAGCGAGGGGAGAAGCAGCAGGAAGAGACTCCATCGCTCTTCCTGGGAGCCTGCTCTCTCCTCCCCGCCTGAGATGACACCGCCGCTACCAGCCTGGCCAGCTCCCATCCGGAGAAGTCACCTCCGATGGAGGCTTACTTCTATCGGCCGGAGCGTCTGGGGCACGGCGGAATTCGCGCCGTAAGAGATGGCGTTCCCCGGGTTCCCAAAGCCCTAAAAGGGAGGGCGCCCACGCGCTCAACACCCCTCCTGCCGGCTCCGGACCTGCATGCTCCGGACCTGCATGCTCCAGACCTGCCCGCGGCACCGCCTGCTGCTGCTGTTGCCGCCGCTCTGCCTGCGGCTGCGCTGCCTGCTGCTGCCGCTGATATGTCCGCGGCTGCACTGCCTGCTGCTGCCGCCTCTCTGCCTGCGGCACCGCCTGTTGCAGCTGCCGTCTCTCTGCCCGCGGCACCGCCTGTTGCAGCTGCCGTCGCCGCTCTGCCCGCGGCCCCGCCTGCTGCTGCTGTCGCCGCTCTGCCCGCGGCACCGCCTGCTGCTGTTGCGGCCGTGCTACCAGCAGTCCTGCCTGACCTGCCTGCAGTCCCTGCAGCTGCCACCGCTCTGCCTGCGGCACTGCCCGCGGTGGCCGCGGTTGCGCCCCCTGCTGGCCGCGTGATGGCGGCGCCCGCTGCGGTGCCCCCTGCTGGCCGCGTGGTGGCGGCGCCCGCCGCGGCGCCCCCTGGTGATCAGGAACCGAGGGTGCCCGCTGCAGCTCCGACTGAGGTGCCCGCCTAGGCGCCCCCTGCTGGCCGCACACCCGAGGTGCCCCATGCTGGCCACGTGACGGCGGCGCCCGTCCTGCCGGCACCTGAACTACCTGTCTCGCCGGTCCTGCCGGCACCTGAACTGCCTGTCCTGCCTGACCCGCCTGCCCAGACAGCGGCTACACCTGCTGCTGCGGCCGCCGCTTTGCCTGCAGCTCCGTCCGAGGTGGCCGCGGTTGCGCCCCCAGCTGGCCGTGTGATGGCGGCGCCCGCCGCAGCGCCCCCAGCTGGCCGTGTGATGGCGGCGCCCGCCGCAGCGCCCCCAGCTGGCCGCGTGATGGCGGTGCCCGCCGTGACGCCCCCTGCTGGCCGCACACCGGTGGAGGAAGATGCCACTCTGCCCGCGGCGGCTCCTGTGGTCCACTCGCCTGTCCTGCCCGTCTCACCTGTCCTGCCCGGCCAGCCCTGCTCACCTGCAGCCGGCACCGCTGGAGGAGGACGCCGCTTTGCCCGCGGCGCCCCCTGCTGGCCGCACGCCTGCAGAGGATGACGCCGCTCAGCCCGCGGCGCCCCCTGCTGGCCACTCACCTGAACTGCCTGTCACGCCTGCAGCTGCCTCCGCTCTGCCTGAGGTGCCCGCCGAGGCGCCCCCTGCTGGCCACACGCCCACGGCCCCATCCGAGGCCGCCTCTCCCGTCATGCCCGCGGCCCTGCCTGAGGCCGCATCTCCCGTCCTGCCCGCGGCCCTGCCTGAGGCCACATCTCCCGTCCTGCCCGCGGCCCTGCCTGAGGCCGCCTCTCCGCCTCTGCGGCCACGCCCGAGGCTCCGGCTGCCCCGCCTGCGGCCACGCCCGAGGCTCCGGCTGCCCCACTTGTTGCCTCCCTCCTGACTCCCTCGCCCTTACCCCGGCAAGGCTGATGCCCCCCAGGACCCCGCCTTTCGGTGTCCCGTAAGGGACGGGGACATAGGCGTCGGGCCCGGGTCCCGCCTGCCCTGCCCCCTGGCTCGCCCGTTCGGCCCCTGCCGGTGGCTAGGTGGCTGCCTGCGGGTCCTCCGGCTCGGGGTCGGCGGTCCCCTCCGGGTCCCCCCCTGGATCCTCGGTGCCGGTCCTCGGTCCCGCCTCCGGGTCCATGTCGGCCGCCTCTGGGCCCCCCTGCTCCGGCTGGGCGTCGGACGGCCCTTTCGCCGCCCCCGGCGGCGCCCCCGCCTGCCGCTGCTTCCCCCTTTGGCCTGCCTGCACTGGTGTTCCCTCCTGCTCCCTCCGTGTCCCCTCC